GTATATTTCAATTGGTTGATTCTAAAAACGATACGACAACGAATGTGATTATTGACAGAATTATAAATCATCGGTAGGTTTTGTCAGTTTTTTTGTTATTTAAAATTTGCAGCAAAAAATATTTTTGAATTTTTAGACTGCAGTTTGAAAGAAGAAACTGTGTCAAAGAGAAGAAAGAAGTTGCCGCATTTAATGAGATGAAGAATCATCAAAATCTAAGTAAATTGCAACCAGTCAAAATTACCGTGGAAGATCCAGCACGATAAGGGGTGCATTCTGTTTCTGTATATTGAATCTTCTAAGTGTTTCATAATCAGAAAATGTAGTGTCCATGAGTTGTATTATCAAGTCAGCTTTTCCCACTAATCATCACAAATCATCTGCTCTTTTCCTCGCAATTGGAATTTTTCTGGCTTCTGGTGCAAGCTCGTCTGCGTGCTTTCTTGTTAACATATATTCTTTTTAGATTTTCATTGTTTCCTCATGTATCTTCTCTTCTTGCAAGATACTGGACCATTAAAGCAGCTCTAGCTTCCAGGCAGAAGCCCAAATACCTGAATTTGTTTAAAGTTCGTATCTGCGTTTTTTAGTGTATGATCGGTTCGCATTAGTCCTAGACACCACTCCACTTTAACTGCTTCCAATAAAATTGTGGGAGTTCCTCATCCAAAAATTTTGTTTTTCTTTGAAGTAGTTCAGAAATTTTTCCGAAGAGATTTTCTCTCATTTTCCATGTTTAAATATAATCTATAAACAACTCTATTTTGTCTAATCTCCTACGCGGCTCGTCCAAAACTTTTTAAAAATTGTCTTCATTTGCAATCGTCCGTTGTGTATACAACTCATTTTCTTCTTTTAATTTTTCTGCTTTTGCTGTTTGGAGTGTATGACTCTGATTCTTATTTTCCATTTCTATCTCTGCCGCCGTTCTACCAATTCTACCCTTCAGACTCATTAAATTTTTTTTTATTAGGAACATCTTCCAAATTGTTTTTCAAAATTTTGAAAAATGCAAGTTAGTACTACAGCCTCTTTCTCAACACAGCTGTTTGGCCTTCTATTGGTTTTGACACTCTTTATTTTTTCTATTGTTTGTCTATCGTTCCCCAAAACCTCATTCTCCGGCCTACTCTCAGTCCGATGGTTAGAGTCCGGCCAGTTTGACCGTTAAGAAAGCTTGTCGTGGCTAATGGGCAGCACTCTAAATTGAACTGTTACTACTGTAGTAATTCTTTCTGCATACCCCGATTGGCTATTCTTATGATACAATGTTTCTACTGTGGTTTCTAGCAAAAATAAACGCTGACTAATTATCTTTCTTTAAGTCAATGTCAAGAATAAAAATGAAAAATCTTAAAAAAGGTCAGTATATCTTTTAGAAGACAAAAATACATGTCTTAGGCATCTCTCCATTTTTGTATGTTACTTTTTGACCTACGTGAGGGTCAGAAAACCTACTGCAAATCCTTCTTAAGAATTTCCTTCACAAAGCGTACAATAGTTACTAAATCTTCTTCATAAACCTTGTCGTACCACTTTTTTGCCAATGCTCCTCTCAAGGCTTCGCTCTGGAAATCACGGTGACTATGGACCCCTATCATGATGCTTTCGCGCCCGGTCGCGAAGGCTGCTCTAGCAAAAAGTAAAGCTTTGTTAATCTCACAACCGGTGGTTTGATTTTTCTTTTCTCATTGTTAGTATTCATCAACTGGGTCTCTGTTTTGTGTATTGGACTTAAAGCTCGAGTTAACCTCCACCGAGGAAGCTAAGCTGCTTTCGTACAACAACAGTTACGCAAAAAAAGAAGATACTTGAAAAACAACTAAATTTAAAAGCAGAAATTTATTTTTTAATGTAAGCAATGATGGCAAACTAAAAAAATTATATTTTTTGGTTCTCATAATATTTTATTTGTTAGATGTTAATTTGACTAAAGAAAAAAGAAAAGCCCTATTAAATTTAGTAATCTTTATAAGAATTCCACTTAAATTTTATAAAAAATTTTGGTTTTGATGCATGTTTGTTGTTGGATCCAGACATCATAGAAAACACGTTAATTAGCGCCCATGTACTAAAGCAAAATGAAATAACTATATCCTTGATGTTTGCCAAAACAGTACTGCAAAAATCCTTTATTTTCGATTTTTATTTAATTTTCTTTATTTCAAAAGCATCCATCCGCATTTAGCTGCTTTTTTACTTTGACTGCAAGAAAGTTTGGTTTACTGATTGCAGTAAACAAGTACAGTTTAAATTTTTCTCAATACCGCGTCAGGTTTGAAATTAATTTGTAAAGATCAAAATTATTTTTAAGCATTAACTTTGCCTTCCTCCGTTCCAAAATGTTGTTTTTTAATTTGTTTCAACGGCAGTAATTAAAGTTGAATGGATTTAATCTCACCTTTCCTCTGAACGATTATTTCTTAATTTTTTTGTTTCTGAATCATTTAAAAAACCAATTATTTGGTCAGTTGTTTCTGCATCGACTTCAGTCTTAAAATCAGTAAATACTAGCACTAGCACAAACAAAACTAATTTTTTCATTAATTCAGTTTACCACTTCTAATAATTTTGTTTTTTTCGAGATTTTTTTACACAATTATGTCCTTGTAGCATCATTGGGAGTAATTAATAAAGGGCGGATTTCAGGGACGGTCGCAGCACTCTCGGAAACGAGGGTAAACTGATTCCGCCTATCCAAAGTAAACTCACTGTCCAATGATTTTCTTCAAAGGTTTTACTCAAAATTTTCATAGTCCCTCTCCCTCTCCACCAGTTTTCGCTCAGCTTGGCAGTCCACAAAAATACTACGAAAATTTTCTATAAGCAAATTGATTGGTACAAAAATTATACAGCTGTGATCAGCAGCTATACCCGCGTTCATTTCTAATTGCACGCGAAGAAGACGAGCGGGAAAATGCCTTGTTTTTGTGAAGGTTCCAGGAGTTTTGGCGGAATGCCACTGTTCTATACGGAGACGGCCGGAAGTTATGCGAGCGACCTCGAAAAAGGTACACATAACTTTTGTGTAACACATGTAAATGAGGTGTAACAAAGAGGTATTGCTCATCAGTGTTCAATCTGGTTAAATTTGCTTGTTTCCAGAATTTCTTGCTCTTTGGCCTACTTTCTGCCGAGATATTAGCAGAAATGTAAAACTGTTTTCTTTTTTTACACATGCCTTTTACCTTAATTTTTCTAATAACTTTATTAATTGCGCGGAGACAGCTGTCAATTTTTTTACTGCAAGAATCTGCATACTTGACAGTTACAGAATATGTGAAAAAAATACGGGGTCTGGACTAGTCTGAAAAAGCTAGGCCGTCTTGAAGTGATTGGATTTC